ACAGAGTGACACAAAAACCTAACTGACAGACGTGATTCGTGACAGATAATTCATATTTACTGATGTAGAGTTTGGTGGAAAAGCTAAACTATCCATCCATCCATCCATCCATCCATCCATTCATCCATCCATCATTTTACACGCAACTACATCTCTGTGTCATGGAGGTCATTGGTGCCCATATCCGTCAGTTACTGTGTGAGAGGTGGGGGACACCCTGGACAGGTCTCCAGTCCATCACATGGACAAATAGAGACAAACGAGACAAACAACCATTCGCTCTCTCACTCACACCTAGGGACAATTTAGAGTTACAAATTAGCACTACATGCATGTTTTTGGCCATAAACTATAATTATTATAAATAATAAACCTCACTAGAGTTTATTCTGATTGGACTGATGGCTAGTCGGAGAAGGGCCAAGACCAAAAACAATTGCTGTCATTTTCAAATTATTCCATTTTACGAACATGTCATAGTGGTTCGTTTAAATGCTCTTTAAAAAAACGTTCCCCCTCATTCATTTACCGGTATGTGTTACATTATTATTCAGGCAGAAACATTATAATACGCTGCTTCAAAAATGCTACAGCTAGCTCCTGCTGTTGATACAGTATTTGTGTTGGCAAGAAAAAAAAACAGAATTTCTTGTAAATAACTGTGTAATCAAAACTGACAAAAATGTTTCTACAAGCTTTCCAGATGAGGGTTTACACAAAATGCTAGGAGCTTTTTGACTTTAGAGTTAAAATCAGTCATTTACTTCGGTTTGGTCCTGCATGAACGAGCCGTTACCTCATCAATCTGGTCAGAGCTAATCAATATTTCTCCAATCTAAGGTGGTTTAAAGAGCTATATTTAAAATCAGTTGTTTATGAACTTTCCACAGAATCCCACTTCAGAGTATAGAGTAGTGGCAGTGCTGCAGATATTCTTTTGCTGAGTTTCACACAGGCTGGAAGGATCAATATTCTGGCCGTCATGCTCCCAAGGACCAGTAAATGTGAATATTGCACACACTACATTACACTTCACCTCATCTGTGCAAGGAGCCCTGCCTCCAGCTCCAACCTACCATCAATGTGAGGCATGGCGACGGTCACTTTGATGAGGTTAGGCTGTTTTGGGTCATCTGCTCCGGTGTAGCGTAGCTTGGCAGAGAAAGGCTCAGCACCAACAGTTCCCATCTTACGTGGCTGGCACATCCCTTTTAGTGACAGAAAGATTAAGTAAATTAAACATAAATGCAGATTAAGAGATCTTAAAGAAAAAAAGATAATCTTTTATGCTCCTACACTTAAGGTCGTTAAACCCACGTTTGCTTATTTTTACATAAGTAGCATAATACATTTTTCACATATTCATTACTGAGCAAAGTAGCAATTTTCACATTTGTTGGAATAATTTGTGACCACCCAGCGAGAGCATGTCTGAACCTGTTGCTGTCTGGATGTGTAGGTGGAATGAGTGCAGCAGAAGTGATTGCATAGCAACAGCAAAAAAAGCTAGTTTTTCTTTCATTCAGAGAAAAGAATGATAGTTCTGACCCATTCTCAAAAACACAGCGTGTAGCAGCATTGAATGATTTACTGAGGCTGATGTAAGAGGTGAACATGGTGCAAGTGCCATTTGCCTAATCTTATAAAACACAATGCATATTTGAATGTTAAATGTCGTGCAAAATTAGATCAATCCTTCAGCAATAATGGTGCAGAAGAGATGTATAAACCCATAAAAATGCTCTTCATTTCTTCATATGAGTCAAACTTAAAAAATCACCATGACTGAAAACCTAAAACAAAATCTTCACATGAACCCTCATGTGGACAAGTCATTTAATCAACGTTCATGCTCAATAATCCAGGGCATGAACTTTGATGTTTTGAACCACTTTGACTATGGCTGTCTCAGAGGAATCGACCGGGGAGAGGGCGGACTCCAGAAACCATCTTATCACCATCAAACTGGATGGTCCACTATGTGAGTTAGCCACTTATGGGACTGAGTTTGTTGTGGCTCCTTGGACTGAGGAAGTCCTTAGGATGAAGGAAAATGTATCAACAAAAAAAGAAACCGTCCAGAGGACCTGACTTAACTTTGTTGGACAAGTCAATTAATTTAATTTGAAAATGAGACATTAAGATGGGATTAGATATTATATTTATGGTGAAACATTGCACTGCATGAACTATGAGGGTACAAACACGTACAAGGTCTAGCATTTCTTTTAAATTTAGAATCAGGTGTTTAAAATAAATTGGGCGACAAACAAAACACACTGTTACATTATTTAAATAAATGAAAATTAACATTTGATCTTGACAGCACTTTAATTGAAAAACAAACTACATTTTTGAACTAAGAGAAGCTTTTGTATGCAGAAACGAAACACACTAAAAACAATACATAAATTTATTATTGGAAAAATGTGGTGGAGGAATCTTGTGTGTTGACTTCGGGGGTAGCACAGACTGTTCTTATTGATGGAAAAATAATAATTTAGAAGAAAAACACAAGACATGAATCATAGTCGCTGACCAAAGAATGGTGAAGGAAGAAAAACTTTTTTTTTTACTTGTTAATGGATTTGTAATAGTCCTGGCATAAATCCTTAAGAAATCTTTTATGAGACACTTTGATGACAATATGGAAGACCAATGATCTAAATAGATCTAAATAAATCTTTCTGGGCCAAAAGCCTGCAAATAAAATGTGTTTTGTGCAGCACTGTAGGTTCATTGGTTCAGATTTCTTGAAGATTCATGGCGTTTGAAGAACAAGGCCCTTCCCTGATGCAACATGGGACCAAATCCCAGTCAAGTCTTTCTCTCTGGAGAAATAAAAAATGCACAAGACAGGATTCGTTCATTGTTCGGTTCCTACCTCTCTCCCGGCTGATCGTGACAATGGGACTGCTGAGCTCCAAACCCTCATCCCCGTTGGAATTAACAGCCCGCGCAACACACTGAACCCTTGAGCCTGCCTGGAAGTAGACCGAGTCCAACGTGATCATCTTGGAGGAAGTGAAGAACGTGTCAAAGTCCACCTCCGTCATGCGACTGGTAACGCCGTCGGGGCCAGCCGGGGCACTGATGAGCCAGCGGTAGCGGGTCAAGGTGTTGCTGATGTGCTCACTGACACAAATAGAGCCTGTCTTGTCATAGTCTGGGTATTTTGTGTCGCAAGCCTGGAGAAATGATAGGGAGCACAGCAGGAGTGGGTGGGCAAGCAGCGACCGCAGAGTCGAGAAAGATAAAGCAGATGCTGAAGGACAGATGGAGGTCCAATATGAGGATTTACCACATAGCTCTTGTCAGTAAAACCCAAATGTCTCAGTATGTACAGTAATATTCTCATAGTTGAGTGCTTCCAATTAGGTTTTAGATAATTATCATGTGGAGATGATGATTGGTAAGGGAGAAATGTAAATAGATTCTGTGGATTTGCCTTTAAGCCTTTTGACACTAAGCCTTCTGGTGCAGCGCAACACTTTATTGGACACGACTACTTCATTTCATCTCCTTGGGGAACCTCCCATGCCGCTGACCACACTGCAGCAAAATAAACACATACATACACACACAGCAGCCACCTGAGGATCAAATGACTTTACACATCACAAGAATCCATTCAGGTGTCTCTCTGAGCCAGTTTTCAAGAGGGGAGGTTATTCTCCTGTGGATAAGGACCTGAAGGCAGGCCTACTAAAGTGTGTGATGTGTCTTTTAATGACAGAAAGGTCAGAGCATGGAGGAGTTCAACCTGGGATGAAGTAAAGAAAGAAAGAAAGAAAGCATTTTGATTCTGCTTTGCTCTCCTCCTTCATTACAGGACAAACTAATCAAATCTGACTGTTTGGCGTCGAGAAAAATGCCAGTTTTTCTGTTCTGTTTTCATTGAGTGAACAGCTGAATCATGTTTCAGATCCACATAAGTGATTTTGATCAATAATGCTAGGCTCACTGTGACACAGATGACTGGGTAGCCGGCTGGTGGATGGAGGTTGTCCGACGTCCTGGCAGCATCATCGTAATGGAGCAACGACACAACATGAGGCAGGGACGGGAAGGTGACGTCAGACATGCCATTGGACTCCTCGATGTAAACTATGACCTTAGTCACCTGTTCCAATTAGAGTTATAAAATGAAATACCATCAGTAAAACTTATTAATCAAATTCAAGTCCCAAATCATTCCAAGTATTTTCTTGTCCTGCACACTGTTTTGTATTTATGCCTCTTCATCAGGTTTTCTTTACGTTCCTACATTAAAGAACTAGCATTCCTTTAAGCCATTCCAACTTAAAACAATGTTAAGAGAAATGATGCACAGCATCATGAGATGTCATGCTAAGACATTGTGTTGTGACTGACTCTCAGCTAGAGTCTTATCAAATATTAACTCCAAATCTTATATCAAAACGACCGGCTCGGCCCTGTGATGTGTGCTATTACTTTAACTGGCATTTAGAGTTACCATGGCGACATAATATGCAAACAAAGACGCCATTTTTCTCATTGATAAAGCCTGACAGAACTCTTCACAGCCTCTGATGGCCACAGTGGGGGTCACATGACCTAGAGTGGAGGGGTCTCTGAGCAAACTAATAAACCTTTGGAGCCATTTTGGTTCAAGATGGCTGCCACAGCAGTAAACACAAAATTAACTATAACTCAGTCATTCTTTGAGATATTCAGATGAAATTTGGTATGGTCATAGCTGAGAGTGAGCTGTTTATATTCCTAATGCAAATTAAAATTCCAAGATGGTCGCCTTAGCTAAATAGGAAAAAATATGATAACTCCACTATTTTAAAATATATTGAGCTGAAATTTCGTGTTATGGTACCTGACAGCAATGCTCAATGTATTCTGAATTCAAATCTAAAAATTCAAGATGGCCACAAAAGCTAATTTCAAATATAACTCATGTATTTTTAGAGCTGTTCAGCTGAAATTTGCTTTACTGGCTGCTGAGAAAAAACCCTAATACATTATGATTGCAAATCAAAAATCCAAGATGTCTGCCACAGCCAAATAGGAAAAAACTACAAATCAGCCATTTTCAGAGATATTAATCTTAAATTTGGCGTGGCGGTAGCTGAGAGCAATGCCCAATAAATGCTAAATTCAAATAAAAGTATCCAAGACGGCCACCAAATTTAAATTTAAATGTATTTAACTCAGCTATTTTTACACATAGAGCTGAAATTTGGTGAGGTTATAGTTGAAAATGTTCCACATATTAAATACAAATCAAATATCTGAGATGGCCACCATAGCTTAAGAAAAAACAACTGTAACCCATCAATTGTTTTTGCCATATTGAGCTGAAATTTGATGTACTTGTAGCTGAGAGTGAAACCAGTGTTGTAGTCAAGACCACCTAAACCGAGACCAAGTCGAGACCAAGACCTCAAGTCTTGGAGCTCAATCTTTTCACAGATGATCTGTCTTATACTATACTGTCATGACAAAGTGACAGTTTTAACAAATATGTAAAAAACATGTAATTTTTATAAAAATATGTTTTATAAAAGTTACATATTGCAACTTGAAATTTGTTTTTGAATGAATGTATCAGCTTTTATAAATTTTCAAAGCTACATAACAAAGAAATCAGACATTCAGTGGTTTTTGCACAATAATTTTCATGTCATGTGACCCACTGACACAAAACTTGTATTACACTCTATTGGACCTGACAAACAAGGCACACTCATTTATTTCTCATTTGAAAGTATTTTCTAATTTTACATGTTTTATTTGTTCAAAAATCATGTTTTTTCTTCTTCTCAATAACTAATTAGAAAATGAGAATAAATGATTGTGTCTTGTGTGTCAGGTCTATTAGATTAGTTTAACAATTTTATGTCAGTGGGTCAAATGATGTAAAACATTATTTTTTTGTTTCTGAAGAGTGTTTGGTTTGGTAATTTGTTGACGGTCCCCAAGCGAACCGTTACATCTCGGAGGAGGGGGAGACTGAGTGCAGCTGACCGAAATCAGACTGTCTGCTTCGGATCGAACGAGAGGAACACACCGCTGATGCCACGGAGCTTGAATGTCCAACGTCCAATATAAAACTAACTTCACCGCGGTAGAGAATTGAGGCTGTAGCAGAATACAAACAGTTCAGAAACAATTTGAAATGAGAAAAAAAGGTATTTATTAACTGATTAAGTCGTGTTTTAGACTGCTTATTGCTAGAAAATCTATTCTCACACAAAGTGCAGTTGTGACTGGTTCTTAAGGAGGCTTTACAGCAGATAGCAACTCCCCTCTCTTCCAGGTACTGTGTACCAACACAGAATTTGTTTAGTGGTACGCAGAACTGGATGTTACTGGCTTACTTTCACCCCTGGTTACGACGTTACGTTCTGTTGTCTGTATTGTTTTGTTGGTACAGAACCATGTGCGAGTGAAAGGGGGTGGGCGTGACAGCGGTAACAAAAACATGCATTTGGATCTGAATCAGTACAGTTTGCATCCAATAAAAGCAAAGATGTTAACAAATGAACTGGTCAATATTTTGGAAATTTAGTGATATTTCCACAGTTGTGGTCTTGACTGGTCTTGAAATAAAATCCCGAGTCCTCAATGTCCGAGACCGAGACAAGACCGAGACCAAATGCGGTCGAGTCCGAGACAAGACCAAGACCATCAAAAAGTGGTCTTGAGACCAGTCTCAAGACCAAAACCGGTCTAGAGTACTACAACAGTAAATGAAACCCGAACACATAATAATGTCACATCAAAAACTTAAAATGGCTGCAACATGGCAGTCCCCGTCAAAGTTTCTGCAGGAACATTCAAGAGTTGTGCTGCTGTCGTCTGTTCAGCACAGCCTTGAAAAAAGATCCATAATGGGCTGACTTGGAAATAACAGTTGTTTCTCTCAACATTTACACATACACACAGTTCATGCAAGTGTAAATAACAAGTATGATTATTATATGACGACAAAAGAAAAACATGTCTGACCTGAGTTTCTGCCACCATGTTTTCGTCAGGCTTAAGATGGAGCACAAACGCTTCCCTCATTTCTCTGACTCCATCAAATAGCACCTCCACCTCCACGACATGCTGCTTATCCCCCTGTTTAAACTCAATATCTGGAAATGCAAAAAAACACTATTAGACGCAGCTGATGAATTAATTCAGCAACACAAAACCATCAATAATGAAAGTTCAAATATAAACCACTGAGCTGATTTTACATTGATACTTTATGAGTTAACAAACAGCAGCTATCATCAAAGCTAAGTTTCTCTTTTTTATCTTAAATTTACAGAAGCAGGAGATGCTAGTAAAGTAAGACAGATTTACATTTTATTAGCCCAAATATATATCATTATTTGCATAATGCCAGAGGTGGTCCATCCCTTTACAAGGTAAGTACCAGATCTTTGCATAAGAAATGTGCTGCTGAGAGATAATATGGTGCAAAATGATAAATTCACTGTGTGATTCAAAACTGCTGGGAAATGTTAATGCTGGGTACACACGGTGTTGTATAATTTAAAAAGGCTAAATGTATTCATCCAAATATTTTAAGTCTTGATTGATCTAATAAGAAGGTCCACTGCTCTAAAAGCTGAATGGTAAGGCAGCAATATTTTTTTTTTGATGTGCAAAGAAAGAAGAATGGTAAAACTCTATTAAAATTGCACAACCTTTCAAAAAGAGTTCAGCAGAAATTTATTTTTTTCAATTTGGGATGAAATTAGAAATTAACAATACTTGCCAAATGTATCCCCATGGTCATTCTCATTACTTTCTGAGTCATCCTTGTTTAACAGTGGTCAAAAAAATCTCTTATTGGTCCTTGCAGTTTTATAACAGGAAACATTTATAGGAGGGATATCTGGGTGAAAATTATTCTGTAGGGGTGCTGTATGATAATAACTTGATGAGATGTTTTCTTTTTTTTTTCTGTCTCATTGCTATATTTACTTCCTGCAGGTTTTTGTGTTTGTATCACTTTATACATGATGTAGTGTAGATGGGCATTTTTTCTCATTTCCAAAAAAACTTATATTTTCACATCAATTGGTACAATTTGAGCAGAAATATGATTTGCTCTGACCTGATTGGTTACTTTGCTGTCAAAAGACAAGCCCTTTTGATTTAATGATTTAAAACTGTATTGCAGCAGTTTTATTTTTTATTGTTTGCATTTTTTAAACACCAATACATGTACAAAAACAGTACACATGAAGTGAATATAAAAAAAACGACATGTTCTTTTTTTTAACTACTTCTTTATGATTTGTGTTATTTTATCTAATCCATCCACCCATCCATCCGTTCGTCCATCTGTCCATCCATTATCTTTACCCACTTCTTCCTTTCTGGGTCGCATGGGGTTTACTGGTACCCATATCCAGCAGTCACTGTGTGAGAGGTGGGGGACACCCTGGACAGGTCTCCAGTCCATCACAGGGACACATAGAGACAAACAATCATTCACTCTCTCACTCACACCTAGGGTCAATTTAGAGTTATCAATCAGCCTAACATGCATGTTTTTGGTCTGTGGGAGGAAACTGGAGTACCTGGAGAAAATCCATGCATGCACGGAGAGAACATGCAAACTTAATCCAGAAAGGTCCCAGGCTGGGATTTGATCCAGCAACCTTTTCACTGAGAGGCAGCAGCTCTTGCACTGCAATCTGTTTCACTTGCTCAATTTTTTCCCCACTTATGCTCCTTTTAGCCTTCACTTTTTTTGATAACCTTATAGCTTTAATTATTGTTCTACTGAATTTAACATTGAGCTACTGATTAGCTAAAATTAGCATTTAGCTACTTTTGCATATTTTAGCACCTGGTTTGCTAATTGTGTCAGGTTTACCTTGAGACACAGGGTAGTAATCCTCTCCTGAGACAGCTGACCCATCTTTTGTGTGAACTCGAACCACCGACGCTTTTGATGTGTCTCCAACTCGAACCACTGGGATCCTCACGGTTGCAGTGGCGCCAGTTTCATTTGGTTCACTGATGCTGAACTTTGTTTCCAAAAAACGGATTATGGGTTCTAAAAAATAGGAAAAAAAAGAAAACAAATTTAATGCTGAAACTGTATGATCTGTATTAATCATTATAATTTAGAGATATTATGAAAACATATATCCTCTCTACTCATGGGCTGTTTCAGGCAAAACTTCCTAATCACTGAAATAAATATTAATCTGTGTCTCAGTCTGTATATTAAATGTCCCTCCACCTTTCTTGATTGAGAGGTGGAGGGACATTTAATATATATATAAAATATTATTATATTATACATATAGAAAATATTATTCTTAATAAGAATAAGAGGGTCGCGCTTTTTATAGTAGCAGCTTTGTGCACTCCGCCCATCTTTCAGACGTACATGACGTACATACATGTTCTCGTTGTATTCTTGGTGCAATGATAATAAAGTTTATTCTGATTCTGATTGGACTCACTGTCTGCGGTGTCCCTGATTATTACCACAGCCTCATTCAGAGAACCCACTGATGCACCAAACTGTGAGTCACTCTTTGGGTTCCCCAAGACAAGCCGCAGCTCCTCGCCGTCTTCGTACAGCTCGTCATCAATCAGTGACACAATACACGGCTTCTGCACCTCACCTGAAGTGGACAGAAACATGGTTGATAAAAAAATAAATAAACCTTTTTAATATTATATATATCCTTATAACATCATTTCATTTGGCAAATGCAATGCGAAAAATTACATAAACAAGACAAAACTGCAAAAACACAAAAGGGAGTTTTTATTTGATTTAAAAAAGCAAACTTTTTTTGACACACAGTACATTTTTTACAATTAACAGTAATTAAAAAAATTAAACCCTGTGTAATTTCTACCCGGTAAGAAACTGATGATGGATCCGTCGGTGTTGGGTCGCTCATCAAAGTCAGCAGCAACTTGTGCAGAGCCCTGACGGGTGTAACAGCGGACGGAGGATTTGTGTCGGACGTCACCACTGCGGTAAACTGTTGCTGTGATCGCACCATCACTTTCCTCTCCGGTGTAAACCGGTGCATGGAACTGGACCTTTGGCACTGTTGGTGAAATAAATAACTGTGTTTTAAATAATTATAATAAGATTTTCATTGTTGATATATAAACAACGCAGAGAATCGCAGTAGAAGTTCATTCAACTGAACAATGACTAGGCGCCTTCTAAAGTATTTTAATATTTAAAGAAACAAAATCTAGAAATACATTTTTGGGCAGGAAGTGTCTTCGGTTTATGGTGTGATGATTTATGATGATGTATAAGTTATAGACAGAAAGAAGCTGAAACCTCCATGCATCACACTGAATGATGGGAAGTCCTTCACTATGTATTTACAGTAATTTATATATAATAATATAATATATAGCCAAAAAATTCTTGATTCAATTTCTTTGTGATTTGGGGTGAGGGTTAAAATTGATTATTCAACGCATTTTGATGCAGACATGAATGATTCTGAATTCATTTAAAAAACTTATTTATCCATCCATCCATCCATCCATCCATCCATCCATCCATCCATCCATCCATCCATCCATCCATCCATCCATCCATCCA